CGTGCACATTGATTGGACGAGGTTTTCTAGGCTTGTACGTTTCAGTTGTGATTAAAATTATTCTTTATTTTGAAAAAAGAAAAAAGTTAACTTTTAGATGCCATCAGCATGTGAGATATCTCAATGTTCTCATGACAAAACTCTAACATGAGACTGTTCTCTAACCTGTCACATAACAAGCTAAATGAAAGTCAAACATTTCAGATGGACCGTATGACAGTTGCTGACGTTGGCTCTGCCCTACTTTACCTCTACACTACAGTTCCTTTATCCATGTCCATCCTAGAGCTCCTCTCTGACCTTCATGCTTATTTAGAGCAGCTGATTTTTAAAGTTAGCAGAGTTCATCCTTGGTAGCGGGTTCACTCACTCATTTAACCCTTCACCACTGAAATCAGTCTGTTCATTCCAATCCTCCTAAATAATCCTCCAATCATCCAACTGGAATTCTTAAGGGTCCCGCAACGTCCATCCTGTCAGAACAGGCCTTGGGAGCCCAGGTGTTACTAGAACTAACGGTGTCTCCTCACCAGCGTGAGCCTCCAAACTGTGAAGGTTGGTCTCCAAACATGAACTTTATATTCATGCTTTCATCTCCTCTTGTAACACTTAAACATGTTTTAAAAGACTTGTATCACGATAAGTTACACCTCCCAGACCAAAGATAAGATAAAACATTATCATAAACACTGCAGAGACGTCATTATTTATGAAATATGAGTTATTTTCCTGAGCCATTACTTCAGCCAAGATATAAGATGCATGGATTTGATGAAACCACGCTGTCTCATGCAGTTCTATATGTGTAACACACACACACACACACACACACACACACACACACACACACGCACGCACGCACGCACGCACGCACGCACGCACGCACGCACGCACACACACACACACACACACACACACACACACACACACACACACACACACTGCAGCATGTTAGAATCATGTGAATGACTAATTTGAACTGCTTTTGTAATAATTTAATCTCTTATTCTGGAGTAAAATAAGGAAACAAGCTAAATCATCACATATCTGTGGCATCAAGGAGCATCTTCTGAGTTCAAACACAGGGATGGAGCACAATGTTTACACCTGAACAGTATCAGGATTAACTCACAGAGGCCTGCAGGTCTTCTGTTTTATGAGCAAAGCGCTGAGAATCCACTTTTTATGAGCGCTAAACGTTATTCTGCCGCTGCGGTGCGGAGCGGTAGGGAAACACAATTCAAACACGGAACCGAGTCCGGCTACCGAACCGAGCAGATTTCTGATGACGTCACACCGGTGCGCAAAGGTGCGGGATCCAACCCACAGGAGAGGAGGGAGAGAGGAGGTGAACAGCGAGTTGATCACAGGGACTGAACTGATGTTTTGGAGCAGAAGTGTACACCCACACCCCCCACGGTTTAGACGCGGCGCTCATGCAGGTGTCTCTTATGTTCCAACGCTGCTACTCATAATGTTTTTAGTTTATTAAGCCTATAGCTTGATTTTTACTCAGTAACGGATATGATTTAAAATGTAGCGAATTACATTTCTTTTTTAAAAACGTACTTGAGTAAAAGTTAGGGATGCAAGTTAACCGATACCAATGCAGTTGCTTGAAAATGGCTTCACTGTAACTTGTCATTTCTGTTCACCTAATATTTTAGTTTTGTGATGAATTCCATTCATGTATTTTACTTTTTATCAACCTCACAGTCTTTTCTTGTTGAAAGCAGAGAAGAAAATACAATCTGTTTTCCAAATCATTGCATTTTCTTGTGTGGTGGAAGTATCGGTATCGGTAATCGGCATCGGCGAGTACTCAGATCCAAGTATCGGTATCGTATTGATTTGGAAAAAAGAGGTATTGGTGCATCCCTAGTAAAAGTAAAAGTACAGATTTTAAAAACGACTTAAAAAGTATAAATATACAAAAAAGCTACTCAATTACAGTAAAGTGAGTAAATGTAATTTGTTACTTTCCACCTCTGACTGTGAGGGCAACATAACGCACCAACTTCTTGTAAAACATTTTACTTGCAAGTTTACTTTGCAGCAAAATTCAAAGTTCACTCTTTTTTTTTGCCAACACATCTGCAGTGGTCTCCAGTATAAACGAATACCTTGTTAGTTGATCTCTGTGGGGAAAGGTCACGGTCAGAGATGTTCTTACATTTAGGAATGTTTCTACGCACAAATACAAAATGATAAATACCACACAATGCGTAGAAATGTTCCTACGCACGAAATAGGCACAGATCTGTGCGTAAGTTCATAGATAAATGAGGCCCCTGGACTCTTATTTCATGACATTCAGACATCTCTCCTCTGATTGGCTAACAGCATCACGACTCTACCACTGAGTCAGTTTGCTCTGCAACGTTGATGTTTTATCTCCACAAATAGCACAAGCCTGGAGGATTTCTGCTGTGTGGTGGAGTAGCTAATGCTAACAGTTAGCTTCTACTAGCTGAGATGTTCTCTGCTGTTTCCTGGATGCTAAACCAACAACAGCCTTCCCCGTCACGAATCAAGGTAGGTGAGTCCACAAATGCTAATTTTCTGTGTGCCATAGATCTGACTTTTCTAATCCGAGCGTTTCCCTGTCTATTTTCTATCAGCAGCTAATGCTTGGCTTGTGACTTCAAAAGGCTGTGCTGATTAAGCCTCATGGAGAGATTAAAAAAATGCAATGTTGCATTTTTTACACAAAAAAATATGTTTTACAGAATTCTGAGTTTGTCAATGAAGGCAGCAGAGGAGTTGGATTGGTACTAGTCAATAAGAAGTGACACAATTTCATAGTATTAATGAGTAAGACTTGTAATCCTGTCACCCCCGCACCAGAGCTTCTTTTCCACAGAAACAGCTCAAGATATTCATTCAGCTAGAGACCACCCAAAATGAGAAAATTAGAAGTAACTAACTAACTAACTAACTAACTAACTACATGGTTGACAACAATACTGCCAAAGTATTAGGCAAAAAATGTCAAGTATGTTATTTAGATCTTTTACTAACAGTCAGATAACTCCATATACAGGCTGACACAGGCAAAAACATTATTGCCTGTCTTTCTTCCTTTGACGAGGGCCAATAAAGATGCAGACACTTTAAGCAGTGCTGAACATTAGGGTTAGACCAGGGGTCGGCAACCTTTTCCAATGAAAGAGCCAAAATTACCTCTTTCACACAGTAAAGAAATCACCGGGAGCCACAGTAGCCGCGGCGTTGTGGGCGGGGCCAACAGGGTCTCAGCAGGTGCCGCTTTCTGACGCGTCACGCGTGTCTCCTTTTAAACACGTTTAAACTATTCAGAATACAAATCCGGGCTCTGTCTCATTGGATTGTTGTAATTAAACTTTGTACTGAACGAAAGTTTCCATTAAACATTACTGAAAAGGTCAGAAAAGGATCTGATCAATTAGATTTGTTTCCCCTCATTTACGGTGATGGAGATAACGGCGCAGTGCGCATGGCTCTGGCATTAAACAAGTTTGTTTCTCTTTGCAACGATCTTCAAAAGAGGGCAAAACAGTTAAATGACAGGGTTCGCATCGACAGGATATTTTTCCGTATTTGACCGTTTATTTTGACGGAGAACCTCAAGGCAGCAGATGCGCTGACATTTTAGCACATCACAGAGGTATCTAAAGCAACCAAGAAAGGATTCCCATCAGAACATCTGAACATTTTACTGGCCACTGTGCTCAGCGCAGCTCACTGTCAGCGCGCACATAAGGTGGACAGAGAGATGAAGATGTGGAGAGGTGCTTGGAACGCGTCGGCCACCAGAAGAAAGCAGAACCAGAACGCATGCGGGAAGATTCCTCTCACTGAAGCGAGTGTTTTCCAAACCCGGTCTCTCAGAGAGACTTGTCACTTAGAAAATGTTCCCTGATTATGAAACTTTGGCTGAATAGCGCTTGTTCCTGTCTCCAATGTGGCGACGCATCCATGAGCCTGTCTGAGGCAAATTCCAGCATCTCATATACTCTTCAGCTCAGAAAGCTCCTATAGAGGCACTTGATCACGCACAAGCAGGTGACCTGTCATTTCAGGTCTTTATCCTTTTTGTTTAGATTTTCAAAGATGACAGTCTTTATATTTAGAATTGACATACAGAGAAAAAATGAATGCAGTAAAATAAAATAAATTTTAATTAAATAATCATTCATTATTTTACAAGCACAGAGAGCTGCATCAGATGGATGAAAGAGCCGTATGCAGCTCCAGAGCCGCAGGTTGCTGACCCCTGGGTTAGACCCTCTGTGTGAAGCTCAACACTCGTGTTACTGTCCTGCTCATTACTTGCTCCATTTGCATTCAAGTAATCTAGTGGCTACCAAGAGACCCACCCACGGTCCGACACATGGGCCCACAAAGGCAGTGGCTGTAACTTAGTATGTATTTTGCTTTTCCCATACGCCACCAGACACTAGCTGTCTTTATAGACTCAAAGCAAAACAAACTTTGAAAACTGGCACTTGATAAAAGCGTCGAGTGTGTTGCACAATCGCCATGAACTAAAATGAACCTTTGAGCGGTAAAAACTGAAAGATCACAAAAGCGTAGTGAGTGTTTGTGGTGTGGCTTCACCGGTCCACACGAGGCACAAGAAGTTGTACGAGCCCGAATAGGATTAAACACCTCCTTCAACCACAAACCACTCACATATAAACAGATATCGTGATAGGGAAGTGGGCCCCACCCAGAGCTTTTTAAAGAGGCTGCAGATGTGTGTGAGTGTGTGTGTGTGTGTGTTCTGTTTGTAGGAATTATGGGAAAATCTGCAAACAGAAATGTCTTCTCTTTAATTCGAACAAACAGGAAGTAGAAATGGGCGATTTTAGATGAAATGATGTGTCAGGTACTGCAGCGCAACGTGAGTCAGCTGCTAGACTTGAGTTGGGCCTGAACCAACAGCAGGCATCACGAATACGTTAATAAGTCTGTTGGTGGACGAGTGAAATAAAGAAGAACACCCCAGTGGGTCTCACCTTGTATACCTGGCCGTAGGTCCCGTTGCCAACCACCTCAACCAGCTCAAAGATGCCCGCTGGATCCTGGAAGGTAAACGGCACGATGAGGAAAAACAAACGGGGTTTGAAAAAAAGAATGAAAAAAAAGTTGGTTTGTAAATGCAGCTAAATTTAAATAAAACTACGTTTCTGTCATTGGCAACTTAAGGGGCGGGGTCACAGTGCCACCCTGCTTTTTACCTTTTACCATCCTTTTAGTTATACTTATGGATATGAGTGTGTGTGTTTGTGTATGTGTGTGTGTGTGTGTGTGTGTGTGTGTGTGTGTGTGTGTGTGTGTCTATATACATATGTATGTGTGTGTATGTGTATGCATATATGTATATATGTGTGTGTGTGTGTGTGTGTGTGTGTGTGTGTGTGTGTGCGTGTGTGTATACATATGTATATGTGTGTGTATGTGTATGCATATATGTATATGTGTGTGTGCAAATGTACATGTGTGTGTGTATACATGTTGTTATGTGTTTTTTATGTATTTTTATTCTCATTTATTGTAGTTGTTGTATGTTTTAGAGAGCGAACATCTACCGGAGCTAAATGTAATTTTACTTGGCCAATAAATCTGAAATCTGAATCTGAAATCTGAAAATCTGCTGACGGTGCCTCCCCTACATAGGCTCAGGCATGGTGCTGTGCCACGGCAGAAATTTCTAGCACCACGGCGACCGCGGCTAGAAAAAAACTGTGCTGATATCTGACTGGCCCCCCAACTGCCCTTGTCTGGTTACTCGTCTGTCCTTTGAGCAATAATCAGATCATAGGTGGGTGCAACTTCAAGTCCAAACACTAGAGGTGCTAATGGGCTAAATTGGAATATCCAGTGGGAAATCTTAACGATGTTGGGAGAATACCTGGCTCCTCTGTGAATATTGGGGGCCCTTAATAGCCCCATACTCAGAAAAATCCTAAATCCGCCACTGATTTCTGCACAATACAACTGGGACGTGATTCCTTTGAACTGGCAAAAATATAATGATTGGTGCTACAAGAAAAATGACAGAGTACATTTGGCTCCATGGAACCAAATGTACTCTTTTACACCGTAAACTCTTATGCTATTGGAATCAATGGCTCGTCTAAATCTTAAACATCTTAAAGCATTTTTGGAACTGCAGCAACAACAGATCTTTAGTGTGATCATTTATACCTTGAAATGATTACCTTGATCGTGTTAATGAAAAATAATGGCACAAATAATCTATTTCTTAAATGTGTTAGACATCTTCCAACACGGGTCGGTCAGAGCTGTCCAAAAACCCTAAACCAGCATCAGCTCCAAGCAGGAATAATCAACCACACATTTGATTTTATCCACAAAAATAAGCCAACTATGTAGGTAGACATTGGGCCTTTCTTCCCCACAATAGAAGGCTTTTTCCTGGGCTGTCTGGTTGTGGGCCACTTGTTGCATGTCAACTTTTCTAACAAAGGGGAAAACTTGTGTAAACACTGAATAGCTTGTAAACTTCCCCCAAACCCAGGACGCAGCGCAGACAGACACGGGCTGTTACAGGATAAAAGGAGCACAAACTGTACAGAGTTCACGAACAGCAGGTTTCAGTGACAAATAATGACACCCAGCTCTGGGTGGTGGCTGCTCAGGTTATTTTCTACCGTTCAGCAACAGCCACCACATCCTACTGTTTACACAAACGCTGCATTTAAACAACAACTCGGACTTTTTTCTACTTACTCTAAGAGAAGCGAGGTCTATACTGTCCAAACTTCGAGTGGTGTTTTCTCTAGACATGGCAGCCAGTAAAAGTGTCACTGAGCCGAAAGTTGTATAAAAGACATGGACTGTCAGGCTTTCTCCTCTAACGGTGTAAAACTAACGGCTTTTCCTCTCCAGAGGTTCATTCTGAAGTTTAGCTAGTTGCGTCAAGCTAAAGGGCGGAAAACATGTCGTTTCCGCTTTTACCTTTCAAAATATAAGCCTGATGATGCTTTAGGGTTGTTTGCTTATTAATGCTTGTACATGTTTTTAAATGTTTCAGTCAAAATAAGTTATTCACGAGTTGCAATAAAACTCAGCATACAGTACAAAAGTCCAAATCTAAGTCTTTATAAATATTTAAAGTACTTAATGAAGATCGAATCTTTCTACATCTGGGGCTTTTATTGTGAAATCTGGATGTCATTATTTCCGGTAAAGCCTCACTAGCACTGATTTATTTGTTTTGCTCATTTTTTTTTCTCTTATCCCCTGGTCCTCATAATTTGCAATATGACAACTGTGCTGCATTCTATTAGTGGGGGTAAAAAAAATCTATTAAAAAATACATTGTCATCTAGAAGTGTGCCTTGCACCAGTGAACTTCACGGGCTGATGTTCACTGAAATCTCACCATCATTCTGTTGCTTTAAAAAACTAAAAAAATAAAAATAAACCCCAAAGTACTATAATTTTTGAACACTACTTTCTCATTATTTGAATTTATTTCACAGTGCAGGCTCTGTTTGTGTTGATTATTGAAAAAATAGTTTTGGACGTTGTTCATTTACAAGTGAAACTGGAAAAATTACAATGGTGCAACTAAAAAGGTGAAACTCATACATTAGATAACCTCCCTCTATGCAAATCCAGATATTTCATTTGTTATAATTGTCATGATTATGGCTTACAGCTTATAAAAAACCCACATTCAAAATATCAGACAATCAGAATATTGTAAAAAGGTTCAATATTGTAGACTCAAATTGTTGAACTCTAATCAGTTAATTAATCCAGAACACCTGCATAGGATTCCTGAGCCTTTAGATTGTCTCTCAGTCCCTAACCCTTACTCTAACCCACTACCTCCCAGAAATTTACCAAGGGATGATGCATTATGAATTAGACAACCATTCTGAGAAAAGACCTTGACGGTGCCATCCTTGACTGCTGAAGCAAATTATTGTTTTCATAAACAAACACTGACTTGTTCAACAAGGTTAAACTTATCTTTATTATCATACTTGCAGGGGAAATGTTGAAAAAACCAAACTGTAGAGCAATGGTTTCCAACCTTTATTGACTCAAGAACCCCCTGAGTCGTTCTCTTGTACCACTTAGTCAAGCTTGATGATTCCCCAAAAGTATAACTGATTATTAAAGTGACAGTGTGTATTTTCCCTGTCGATGGGGGGCAGTACATACCTAAATCATTGCAAGCAATCATTATTTTTGTGTTCAAATAAGACCTTACCAACGGATGGCCATTAGGGCCAAAAACCCTTGGGAGTGCAACCTCCAGCAAAATAACAAGAACATCAGATTCCCTTTCATCACTGGCAACGAGTGAAGAGGTAAATGTGTAAAACAGCAACATTTATTAATGCTGAAAGTTTTGTAACCGTTTGTTACAAATCAGCATTCTGTCCTCACAGGCTTCCGTAGAAGCAAACAGGGCATCCAATATGGCATCACCGAAAGACTTGGGGTGTTTCTTAATGCCAAGGAACCTCGCTTTGATGTCTTGGCCTAGCCCCGGTTGCCTAGGAGATACTTCATCAGGAACCATCAAGACATGTTCCAATGTTCATGTGCTACGGAGGCGTGTGTTCTCTGATTGTTAGCCGTTTAGCTAGCTGAGCAAGGATACACGGGAAGTATCTTGTAGCCTAGCCTTAGTCAAAATTTTCTCAGAATACGCCGCGGTATTTTCAAAAGGATGGAGGATCAGAAGCTGGCAGCTACTTTTGGGGGCAAATTTCAAGTGTTTTTTATTTTATTTTATTTATTTATTTATTTATTTTTCAAATTTCAAGTTTAAAAGTAAGTCAACTAATTTAAAATGTTTTTTCAGACAGAAGTTATCTATGGTTGGTTAGTTGCTTAGTAGTTGCTCCATGAGGAAACTTTCTAGACTTCTGCATCCGGGTCCGCACCACAGCTGGTGTATATGCTGTCATGGAATACAGAGCTGTGAAGTTCACAGGTGGCATGTCTGTATATTCCTGTGCATGACTTTCTTTGCATATTTATCAAGCGTTACACATCCCAGCTCAACATTTTATTTAATTTTTTTTAACAGGGCACAGCAAATGCAATGCTGTCAATGCTCTTAAGAACCACTAGCAGTTGGGAATCACTGCTGTAGAGCAACCAAAACCGCAGGAACAAGGAAATGAAAAAAAAAAAAAAGATAGTTTAACAGATTGCTCGACTAGCGGTCAGAATACTGTCTCAGGTATGAAACCGTTATAATTTCTTCAACATTATCTCATGGGTTTTGTTGTTCCTCCAGTTGACCAGCAACAATGCAATAATCCCATTACAGCATCTCAACTGTGTGTTTGTGAATATGCAATTCAAGCATTTGTTGTCTGACCACTAAATCTGTAATAGAGTTGTGTCCATTTTCTGTCAGATGCAGTCGTTTCCTGACAGCTAGTAAAAGAAGGAAGCAATGGCACCACAGGTTCCTCTGATCAGAATCAGAAATCCTTAGCTGATCCTTTGTGTCCAATGGTTTAACCAACTAGCTACTTTATTAGCTAAGTCAGCTTACTAGCACACATTATCAACTCAATTATAAAAAAAATCTACTTTTACTTTCAACATTTTTGGACTTTTTATATCCTGACATGTATTATCACTTTGTTAAGTTGACAAGAGCACATGCATTACCACAGTGGTGTATTGATAAGGGCTTCAGACACATGGTTGGAATGAAAAAGCTAACAAAGTGTGTTAGCTATGTTGCACGTTCAAGAACAAGAGCTGAGGAGAGGGGCTTTAGGTGCAATAGTTTTTTAGCCTATAGATGGTGTCCTCTAACAAAAAGACTCTAGCTTAAACTTAGGTTGGAAAAGAAAGCACTTTAAACGTCTAACATAAAATTCACCTTCCAAATCTTCACTACAGGACTTATTTTGGCCTCCAAAGACTTTGGGCTTGACTTCACATTGTAAAAATAATCTCCTTTTATGATGTGTGAACAGTACTTGTATAGCACTTTTCAATCAGAGGACTCAAAAACATGTTAACCTACAGTCACTCATTCACACACACACACACACACACGCGCGCGCGCACGCGCACACACACACACACACACACTGATAGCTATGAGCTACATTGTAGCCACAGCCACCCTGGGGCTCACTGGCACCACTGGTCCTTCTGACCTCCGTCAACGGGCAAGGAAGGTGGAATCTCTTGCTCAAGGACATGACGACAGTGACAGGCTCAGTGGGATGTAACCCTGCAACCCTCTGGTTACGGAGTGGGCTGCCTCTGTCACAAATACAAAGTTTAACAAGTTAAATTTGATGTATGGACATGTGTAACAAAGACTAACTAGAACAGTCCTTTAGTGAGGACGTTTTGGGATTAATCTAGATTTTCATACACTGCCCTGCCAAAAAAGCCATCTGGATTTAAGTAAGCAAACAGGTAGGAGCCTCCTATTGGATAATTACTGCATGGGTGATTATCTTTCAGCTGCAACAACATATTTAACCCCAACTGGTGCAATAAGCTGCTTCTTATTTCTTACAGTTTTTCCCAATTGTTTACACACATTTACTGGTAGAAAAGATGTTAGTCTGTTTGAAAAGGGTCAGATCATCGGCATCGAGCAGAGAAAACATCTAAGGAGATGCAGAAACAACTGAGGCCCTGTCCACACGTAGCCGGGGATCTGCCAAAACGTAGATATTTTTCTACGTTTTGGCCTGTCATCCACACGAAAACGGAGTTTTTTCACACGAAAACTGATCTTTTTAAAAACTCCGGCCAAAGTGAAGATCTGCGTTTTCTCCGTTTTGGGTGTCTGCGTGTGGACGGACGAAACCGGAGTTTTAAGGTCCGCAACGTCACTTTCCGCGACAAAAAAATGCTGACATCACGTGTGCGACCTGTGTTTGCACTAGCCGACAGCATGGATGCCCTCAGAGCTGCGCTCGCTTTATCAATTGTCCAAGCGCTTTTTGCTTGTTTGTTTTTGCAAGCGGAATTACTGCTCCTTGCGGAAGACCACAGACGAAGGACGAGGTTAAGAACGGGGGAAGTACTGCCGCCTACAGGTCTGGCATGTCCTTAACAACGTATTTATCCGGGTACGTGTGGACAGTTTTTTTTTAAACGAGGTGGTGTGGATGCAAGTTTTTGGAGGGGCGGATATTCGTTTTTTAAAAAAAACGGCTACGTGTGGACTAGGCCTAAAACAGCATTAAGTAGGTGATGAGTCCAGATGGACCCTGATCCAGAGTGATGGGGCATCAGGGTAAGAAGAGAGGCAGATGAAGTGGTGCACCCATCATGCTAGTGCCTACTCTACAAGCCTGTGGGGGCAGTGGTGCTATGATCTGGGCTTGCTGCAGTTGGTCAGGTCTAGGTTCAGCAACAGGATGCGCTCCAAGAATGAGTTCAGCTGACTACCCGAAGATCCTGAATGACCAGGTTATTCCATCTTCCCTGGTGGCATGGCCATATTCCAAGATGACATTGTGAGGATTCCAAAAAGGTTAAAATAGTGAAAGAGTGGTTCAGGGAGCACGAGACATAATTTTCACACATGGATTGGCCACCACAGAGCCCAGACCTGAACCTCATTGAGAATCTTTGGGATGTGCTGGAGAAGGCTTTGTGCAGTGGTCAGACTCTAACATCAACAGAGGTGAAAAGTAACAAATTACATTTACTCACGTTACTGTAATTGAGTAGCTTTTTTGTATATTTATACTTTTTAAGTCGTTTTTAAAATCTGTACTTTTACTTTTACTTGAGTACGTTTTTAAAAAAGAATTGTAATTTGCTTCATTTTAAATCATATCCTTTACTGAGTAAAAATAAATTGTAGGGTTCATAAATTAAAAACGTGTCGCAGCGTCGGAACATAAGAGACACCTGCATGAGCGCCGCGTCTAAACCGTGGGGGGTGTGGGTGTACACTTTTGCTCAAAGACATCAGTTCAGTTCCTCA